TGCCCTATTACTATGAGCTTCCTCTTTCATCAACTACGAGTTCAGCGACCTGTTTTTTATTTAGAGTTTGAGAGTGCAAATACTTCATGTTTGTAAGCATACCAAACTGTTCCGTAACTTCATCTTTTTAAAAAAGAATGGAGGTAAACAATGGCATTCAAACAAAAGAAAATAGCACACAACACTGCATGAAAGTTTTAGGTTTTTTAAAGTAATCATTTTATCTTTCTTTTGGATGACATCGTTTATTGTAAGACATCATTTTTATTAAATACACTGTAATACAAGAGACTTTCCATGTCATGTCAAGAGAAGCTGGTCACATGATTCACAAACAAAACTTTTAACACTGATACCTAGGCATCACTTTGAAATCAGCCAAGATGCATGAAAGTTTTAAAGCAATGACTTGTTATAACAAACTGCAAAACAAGAACCACTAAATATTTCCACGGAGACATCACGTTAAAAAAAAGTAAAAAGAAAGGAGAAAGATAGCTCTACACACCATGTCACAGTTTGGTGACAATATAGAGATTTATATTAATATGTAGATACCTTCCTCTTTACCTTAAGTGACAAAGAGAGTGGTATCTAGAAATATATATATACATAAAGTATAGGTGGAGAGCAGGGCCGGGACAAATATTTCATAATTGATTCTCTATTGGTGATTCAATTAAACATCAATGTTGAATTAAATTACTTGTATATAAAACATTCTTAGCTGCTTTTCTTTAAGTTACAGAAAGATACATATAAGCTGCAAGATATAGGCCTCTGGAAAGATTCAATTTGATCTCCGTTTTCTCACATATTCCAATCAAACAGCCTCATTACTAGCAGCTTCTATTATCCTTGCCCAAAGTATTCAGTGTTCATAAAATACCAGCTGTTCATCACTCAGAACCTTCTACAAGCAAACAAAAAACCCCCACAGACCTGGTCTAGAATGCATAGACGGAAAAATAACACACCCATCATTTCCCATTTCTGCTCCTGAGACGTATGTTGAAAAGATGGCAAAATAGTCACTTGGTTGCTATTGTGAAATTCACAGTGTTTTCCCTGCAACATGTAGACTTTATTTTTTTTTTTTGCTTCATATTTGTGATGAACGTAGCACATCCCCCCCGCCCCACCCAGATAAAGGTGTTTTAACTAAGGCTTTAAAGGACCTCTTGATTCAAAGCAGCAGTGGTTCGTCCCAGCTCTCACAACAAGAAAATACAACTTCCTGTGCTATCAAAACCTTCCTCTTTGATTAGAAATCCCGCTTTGTTCCCCAGCCCCTCCCCACTCCCCTCCCTCACATTTTATAGCAGTATTTGAAATTCAGTTACAGGCTGCAACAACCCAGACACAGACTTGTCCTAACACATATGCATTGTACCTTAGTCATCCAGTGACCTAACCATTTTATTGGGTTATTTAATTTCTTTTTAAAATATTTTGTGAAAGTCTACATCAACCACAACAAAAACAATCTCTCAGAAAGGTGGGGAGGGGTACAGAGAGAAAGGGAGGGAAAAAGAGAAAGAAAGAGAAAGGAAGAAGGAAAGAAGGAGAAAAGGAAAGGAAGGGGGGAAAAAAGAAGAAAAGCAAGCAATAAATAGCAAGAAAGGATGAAAAAGAAAGAAAAAGAGAAAAAATAGGCAGTTACTTATTAAACTGTAGACAATACACAGATATGTTGTTTTATAAATCAAAATTAAAATTAATGAAGCCCTTTTAAAAAGGGTGCTCCATCACGCATCATGGGGTGCTGTTGCTTTACATGTATCTGTTGTCCACGGGCAGTTCCAAGTTCTGCAGATCTATTGGGAGTGAAGGACAGAGTGTGGCGAATGCTGCTATTATTACTGCTGAATTTTGGTGTTCTCATTGTCCTACAAGTCGTGTTGCAGTCTGAATAGTCCAGCTCATTCTTGGAATTATTTCATTACTGCAGACGAGTATAAAATGCTAATGGAGCTGCACTGTTATTCTAGGACAATAAAACAACAATAGCACAAACCCAGAAATGACAGTAAAACAAACTGTTTTCCAAGCTTGGAAGCTTGCCTGTTCATTTCATTCTGAGAAATCAACAAGTGAGATGGGAATGGAAGAAACGTTTTTGTGCAATCATCTGGGGAAGAAAAGTGCTTGTTGTTATATCTCTGGCATTCTAGCACTGCCTCTGCTGCACACCAGTTAAAAAGTTGAATCTTACAAACATAGAAAAAGAAATATCAAAACAAAAAAGAATTATTTTGGTTACTCAGCAGACTTTATCAATTTATTAATAGCACTCTAATCATCATTTGTAATAATGTAGGCATATGTAAATTTATACATATACACACAGCCCATACATAATGTGCATGCATGTCTGCACATATATAAATAAAATACAACAGACATAGGCATACATGTATATGCTATGTGTGTGTATATATATATGCCATTTGCAAACACACATATGCAATATATATTACATATATCAGTTCATAGCACAGTCCAGAAAGACTTTTTAAATGAGCCTGATTGTCGTATTTACTGTGCACACAATTTAGCTGACAGTGCAAGCATGATGAATACGCACATATACTCACCCTTCATTGTGACCTGAACATATTTCTTCATCTTCCCTGCTCATTCTGCTACACTTACCCACCTTTTCATGAACAAACGCAAACTATGTATAGCTACAGTTTATAGCTTGTCTACTGTGATTATACATTTTATGCACTATCAAGAACATTAATGATATAGGTCAAAGTTATCCATACCAGTGGCTCTGTAGAACATTTGGTCCTTTAAAAGTTTAACATACTACTATGTTATTGCACAATGCATTGTAACACTATTTATTCTCTGAAATGACTCTAATAGTCTCACTAGTAAATCAAAAAGAAGATGCCACTAAGTACATTTTCAGGGTTTTGTGGTTATTTTTGGTATACATTCTTTCAGTGCTTGCAAAACCCACCTGTTTGCTTTTAGGCTGGAGCCTGCTTTCCAGTAGAAGCATCATCTCAGATGCCTTTTTCTTCAGCTCATAAGAAACTAAGACAGAACACAGCAGGTAGAAACTTAGCACCCCCCTCCACCACCTGCAGGTCCTCCCACTGCACAGTAAGAGCAGACTCGGACACCTTTCTTTTCCACCACTGTCGTTTTGAAAATCAATTTCAAATTCTTTTAAAACACAACATTCAGATTCTCAAGAGAATGGGTTTCACTGGATACTCAGTCTTCATCTAGCTTTCTGTGTGAGCTTCCAAGACAGTCTAGATAAAATCTTAAGGCCCATTTTGTAGGAATCTTCCTCTGGCTTTTTGTGTGTTTCCAGTTCAGTAGTGGTTAAGAAATAACATCTAGTTTATTAAAGAAATACTGAGTATGGCTTTATAGTTACACTGTCATGTTTATTTGTAATGCTGCCTTTTCAATAACAAGGAGAAGGGTAAAACTTCATCAGTGTCCACTGAACTGTTTTCTTTTGAAAATGTTCAGAATCTTTATGAGCTAGCTCTAAAAGGTTCTGAAGGAAAAACCTAAAGTGCCTCAATAAATAATACATGTGAGCAAATTATATATTAAATGTGCTATGGGAACACTTATAAAAATAAAATGCTTAATTTATTAAATAAAATATCCCCAACACAAAGATGAAGGACTATTTTGATCTGGCTCATATCTGTAAAAGTAACAAAAAGAGAAAACAGAAAGAAAGATCACTTTTTTTGCAGTAACGCCCCCTCACAGAGGGAGGCAAAAGTCTTGAGGAATAGGTAAGGTAGGTTTTCATTTGTAAGAATTCTTATTAAAAATAATCCTAACTCTAAATTTGAAATCGTCAACTTCCAGTTTGAAAAATAACAGGTATGTCCATGCAGCTGTCATCAACACAGTGGCCATGCAAATGTTGTACACATACAATGCCAATCCAACCAAAAGTAAATGATTTTTAAGAGTGAATGTTGGTAATGACAGCACTTGTACCAATACAAACATGGTGTTTAGCTCAAGGTCTTTGCACTCTGAATAGTGAGCCATAACCTCAGAGTGATTTGTTTTCTCTAGAGATCTCTATCCCCTGCTATGGCTCAAACATAGCCAGTGATCTCTGTGCTTTAGATTATACACATTATATCAGCCTATTGTATATACATTGTAAAGGCATTTTAACATGGCTAATGTCCTCCATTAGCCCCTTCTAATGAAATATAAGTTATATTGTTATGAGTTCGCTATGCCTACTAGGATGTACTACAAGATGAGTGATAGTTTCTGCACAAAGGGCATTAATCAACAAAGACCATGCACAGTTTTGCTTGCACAGTTTAAAAAAAAAAAAAAAGGATTGAGGAAGGAAGGAATATGCTGCTGGACAAGCACAGTATAAGATACACCTGCCCCAGCATCTACAGTTTGTCCTATCTTATCAAAATCCTTAGTTTCAACATGTGATCCTGAAATTAATACTGTACATTAATAAGCCTAGCTTCAGCCTTTATTAAAAAAGACTAGCTGGAGAACATTTTTATACCAGTGGCATGACAACATCCTACCAGAAGACAAAATAAGGGCATGTGTTTAGTTTATCATGTTGTAATGTAATTGTGTGCAGTGCAGGCAGCATCTTTTTCCCTTTTACTTGCATCTGGCAACGAAAGGTGCTGGCAAAGCACCTCCTTGAACAATCCCTTTAGTCCTCAGAAAGACTCTTCAGGGAAAGTGGTAAATCCCCTCTTGCCTTCTATCAAATCTTTTCAGTGTTTATTTGTGGGGTTGGATGCCATCTGATCCCCTAGTTCCTCCAGATAGTGTATGACACAAGACTCTCTTCTTTCCATCTGGCTTTATCTCCATAAGGAACATGCTTCATGTAGAGAACACCAGTCTTCTTTTTCCACCCTCATGCCAATGGAAAAAAGTTGAGGTGAATTCATAGAAACTCTCAGTAGCTGTACAGCAGAAATCACAAAGTTCAAGTCAAATATATTTTTCCCTTTTTTTCATCCACATCAAAGGCATGAATACAACAAGGCATTGTTAGTTGTGGTGGGCAAACTGAAGAGTCTGCTGATATAACAGATCAGGTTTTTAAGGCCTTTGTCTATGCAGAGTAACAATGATGCAGAAGCCAAATTGATTAGAAATACAGGAGAGAAGAAAAAAATGATAGAAACTAAAAGACAGAGAGAGAGAGAGGAGATACATCCCAGTAATGTCTAAAAAGTCAATACTGTGTCTACAGATGGAGAAGTGCACATTGCTTGCCCTTTGAAAGCTTCTCCGCGACTTCATCATTAATACTGTCAAAGTTAAGAACACATCTTAATGGAGTCCAGCGGCAGTTGAACACATTCATTCCCGTAGCCCATGAGAAGAAATGCTAGGAGACTTTAGCCTAAAATATCCAAGTAGACTGGAGATGCCTTGGCCAAGTTCTGGAGGAGGGAATGGATTTCTTTGATGTTGAGCCTCATGTGAGGCTCCCGTTGCCAACAGCCCAGCATCAAGTCATACACTTCCTTGGGGCATGTGCGAGGTCGCTGCAGGACTCGGCCCTGAGTGATGCACTCAATCACCTATGAGAAACCACAAGGAAAGGATCAGCACAGCTGTGCCAACTACGTGGGAGTCATCTATGGAAGAATGAACTGCTAATCGCCACAGCAGCCTCACTAGTGGTAGCCACCCAGCCAACTCCGCGAAGGGCTGCGTTTCTAGGTAGACACACGAGCAGCGGGCTGCGATCTGGAAAAATCACTGTAATGTAAGTTGTCAAGGAGCAATAACTTCACTGATGTTAAGTTCACCCACATTGCCCTTTCCACTTGTGAGGGAATGATAGCCAGGAAGTAATCTCATACCTCTTCTCTCTACCCATCTATCAACCTCACCTCATCTCAGGAGGATGCTAAGTTTTCACCCTGCTCACACAGAGCATCTGTGGCTCTCCCTCCCTCCCTCCCTCCTTAAACTTAGGAGTATCAGTGTGGCTAATCTCTGGACAGGGGTTACTTGTGACTGCCTGGAAATCAAGAGATCTCCAGATTACTTCAGTCTATCCAAGAATGGTTTCGGACAACCACTCTGCAACAATGACATGTATGATATGGAATAGAAATCACGCAAAGCCTGTTCAGGAGATAGCTAAGCTCCTATTCATTACTTCACGGTATTTCTCAATATCCAGAGCAGACGCTATCCTATAGAAAGGAAAAAGCTAAATCCCAACTGGTATAGTTCTACTTGGACAACTTCCATCCACCCTGGGGAGAAAAGGGTAAAAAGGATGAAATTCAACCAGAAAGTTCATGACAGTACCATAAATACCTGATATCAGAGGTTTTGCTTTTACAAAACAAACTTGTTGTTGCCCCTTCTTCAGAGAAGCTACACCAACAGCTAATGCGCTAGCCTTCCCAATGCAGTCTGAGAATGTATTACACACACCTCATTGTTTGAGAGCTGATACCATGGCTGTTTGCCATAGGTAAAGATTTCCCATAATACAACGCCCAGGCTCCAGACATCGCTTTCTGTGGTGAACTTCCTGTACATGATACTCTCTGGAGGCATCCAACGAATGGGCAGCATGGTGTGACCCCCAACCTGAGAAAAACAAATTAAAGAGTCAGAAATAATTCCTCCAGACCCTCACAAGGAAGAATATCAAGATGTTAAATAAGGAGAATCCATGGTTTCTTTTTTTCCCATCTGACACCATTCACTTCGAGGAACTTTTAAGAACTAGTGATTCACGGTCCAAACTCCTCTCCTCTCAAGAACAATCACTACCGTGATAGGTTTCTCAACAGAATCTCCAAGGACGTTGTTTCTGAAGTGCAAACTCATCTTTAACGTTTACTTGGCACACTTTACCCAAGGAACAGGAAGCTCTATAAAATTATTAATTAATTTAGCCTACAACCCACTTTAAATTAGGCCAGTTTTACTCTCCTTTTTAACACCCAGGAAACTAAAAAAGATTCACGAAATGAAATCTGCACTGATGATCCTCCTAGAAACTCAGCGATATGAACTGAAATCCATGAAGACACAGTGGTCTGACCGCATGACATGGTAGGATCAGGTTCTGTATGGTTTAATATCCTAATTTTGGATATTTGAATTAAAGCAATGCTATTTTCTGTTGATTATTTCCAAAGTTAATTCATCAAATTATTTTGTTCCACATTAACTACCCAGTTCTACACAGCTTTAAAAAAAAAATTCAGTCCTTTGGATATATTCCCTTGATAATAAACAACTTGTAAGACATGGACTCCTATCCCAATCAATTCATACTGAATGGGATCTTTCACCAAATGAATGCCTTTCTGAAAATCTCTTAGAACATTTTTCATTTTCCCCAGAATGCTATCCTTCCTTAAAATTACGCTTCCTAACCTTTATTTAAATTTTGAAAAATCTCCTATTTCCAGTTTCTAAACAATTTATTGCTCCTGATATGTCCCATTCTGACTGGATCACATCAATAAAGAAATCCACTCAAGTACTTCTAAAATAGTCTAACTGCTGAATTACTGTGATATAGATATATAGACATTCTGATTACTTTTGCATCAAGACATCTGCAAATATTTCCAAGGAAGTTAAAAAAAAAAAAAAGGCAAGCTTTTTCAAGGACATCTAACTTTTTATTAACTCTCATTTTCCTGTCTGAAAACGTATTTAGTTATGAAACCACATTTGCGCTTTCAAGATTCTATCAATTCAAAATACTATTTCTCCTTGTGCGACTTCAAATTTGTTGTTATAAATAATAACCTCCTTGTTCTCATGTTGAAACAGCAAATGGAAGGAAAAGCCAACAGAAGTTCAGTCAGGGTTCACATTATTTCTAAATCACGTAGAACATCCATTTCCAGCTATTTGTCAGTAATTCAGCATTAGTGCAGCATACCAAAACCACCGCTACGGCTGTGAGGGCTCAGTCCTGTTCCGTGCATCATCACACTCACTACTGACTCCATAAAAACAGAAAGTCATGCTAAAATTTTCATAGACTTGGTTTGTTACTCGGCTCTTCTTTGCCTTCCCCTACATGAGATGCCATGTGAGCGACAGAGGAGTATTTTTTGTCAGGAAACTGAATCAAGTGCAGGACTCGTGACTTCAGTTCCTGGCTACATTGTGGATTTGCTTCTGACTCAATGCAGGTTGCTGTGCACAGATTTCAGAACCATTCAAAAGGGGACTCAATTCTTGCGGCTTTCCACCTAACTTAAAAAGATACACGTGAGCACTCCATTGACAGAGAATGGATACACATTTTTAAGTGCTTTGCTCAATTTGGCCCATTGACCTCGGTGTTACAGTCTACCCCTCTGGGCGGCAGACTCGCTGTAAGGCTCTGGGTATCAGCATTTTTAATCACCTTTGCCTGAGAAGTCACTCGATGTAGAGAGTTTGAAGTAACATACAAACAGGTTGAGATGCAAACAAAGCTTCAGTTTCCCACTTTATCACAACCTAAACTGACAGGGCAACCAAACAGCTCCAAACCACCACTTTTACTGCCATCTTGAGAGGTATTTCATTAGAAAGTCAGAAAAGTTAGTCCTTTAGAAACATGCAGCCACAATCACCCGGACAAAGGGCAGGTGCCATTAAAAGATGGTTAGTGATGAGAAGCTTTTGGTCTCATCAAATATTGAAATCGCTGTTAGATCTGCTCATCATATAGCCTCTGCCACTAGTTCTTTTTTGGCAATTTCTTTGACTCATTCCTTAACAATTAACGAAACCTACAAACAATAAAATATGTGCGTATTTTTTCTTATTTGTCACATCTTACACCAAGAGATTTTGAAAAAACTATTAAAAAACCCCAACATTCTCCAAATCTTCTTTTCCCATGGTTCCTTGCTACAGAACCACAGTGTATTTGTGGTAGGACTCTACTGTAGAGTTTCCAATGTCATTCAGTAAAATGAATGACACACCTCTAGAGTGATGATGATAAACTGCCACCAAATGATGGCTCTACGATGAACTGATCTGTAACATCACAGACCTAGCTGTCTCTCTGTGCAGTCATAACAAGACTGACTCATCAGTATTGAAACCAAGAATTTGATTTACAGATAAGCACGAGCCACAGGGCTCTTTGGTGTTCTTCCCACATCATCTTGCCTGGAGCTGTGTCCATTTCTGTCCCTGAAGGCAGAAGACTTCACTGGGCAGAGTACTTGTCCAGGACTGAGAAGTCCTGAGGTCTCTCCATCTCTATCATTGCCAATATAAATAATTTTAGGCAAAATTACTTCCAACACCTCAGCATCTTTGTGAAGATAATATTTAATGCCTTGCAAAGTATCAATAAAAGTATTATAAGGGGTGCTCTTCTTGCCAGATGGCATTGGAAGGAAGACAGAATATCGGTGCAACACTGAGCACCACCTGTGGCAGGCTGAGCATCTACCCACGGTCCAAGAGCTAGTTTCAACTCCGATTTCAGTTCAGCCACATCAAAAGCACAGGTCAGGGCCCGGTCAAAGGCACTTTTTCTAAATGCACATTTCACTCTCTACTAATGATCAGTGGTTTACGGAGCCAACACTCACTCAGCTCAGAAAAGCATTAAGGGCTATGTTAGGTATATGCTTAAAATGAAATGCTTCAGAACTTGCTTGAACTGAAGTCTGGGACTTGACATCACTGTTTGCAGGATACCTGAAACAAACTGCCAGTCAGTTATGAGCTTCTTTTGATTTTTATTGGACTTTTGAGTCCAAGCACACACAATTGTGCCATAATAGCAGTGAAGAGAGGTGGAGTGCCTTTTTGCTGTTGTTGCCAAACTCCCAGCAAGGCTAAGGGCTTTCCAAGAAAGACCAATGAAGGAAAACACAACTACACAGACCAAACTTTAAAGATGCTGAGTGCTTCAAAGGGATGCGTTCTGTGTATGCTGTAATAAGAAATGCAAGTATTACACAGCTCTTGGATAGCATCAGCATTCTGCAGGACAAAGTCCCTGCTATGCACACTGTAATTGCAGTGCTGCGTGATACATGTAATTTTAAAACGGTTATGTGCTAAGCAGACTACAGTTGCAGGTAAATAACACCTTCATATTCAGTCTAGCTAAGGTTATGACAGGTTTAAAAGCATCACAGTTTAAACTTAATATGCTATCACTTTAAAATCCATACTGTAGCTGTAAAAATGCTGCAAAAATTACCACTTTATGGAAAGAAATTAGGGTATATCTTCTTGATGCTTACACGAAAGCAGCTGCATTATGATGGTACATACTTATTTAGAATTGCACTTCTACAGATCCTTTCTGGGACTTAAGTACTTCCTTCCAAATACCAGTTTATGAAAGCAAGCACTCCCCAGCCCAGCCGTAACCTTGTATTACATTCCCTACTTGCTTTTACTAGCAATATTGGGCTAGAAAGCCTGGTGAATTAGCTTTTGCAATGTACAAACTATCCACAGAGAGGAGACTGCTATGCCAGATCAGTGAACTATGATGTTCTCCAAAGAAGCACTTCCAAGGGGAAACCGCCACGCTGTTCCACATATGAAATGTTGCACTTTCAACAATACAATGTCATTCCACTTGTCACCACTTTCAGCACTCATCTTTTAAATGAATTTAGCACTTTAGAAGGTGCCAGATAAACCAACCTTGAACATTGTTTTTAACTAGTTGCAAATGTCAAGCTTCAAGGATTGCTGTAGAAGCACCATGTCTTAGCCCTGAAGCATGGGATCTAATTCTAGACTTTGCTAAAGTTTGTTCACTATCCTGTTTCACAGGCACTAGGAAATGGTAAGCCTTGTCTAATGCAGAAATTTCAGTTTTAAGAAGGAAACCAGTCCTGTAGTATGAAATTCTGTGGAAGATGATTTTTGTTGCCCAAGGGTCTGCACACTCCATCCATCCATCCATCCATCCATCCATCCATCCAATGTAAACCTAGCTTTCTTGCACATTAATATTATTGCTACAGACAAGAGCCCTCAGCTGATTGTCATCAAGCTAAAGGCAGGCAATCACTGCAATTTCCCTATGCCAATTAAAAATGCATCTGTTGATACTCTGCCCCAGTCACTCTTTCAACATCTACTGCCCAACTGCCATGGGAACCCAAAGCCCTGTCGCTCGATGTTTGTGAGCAAACAGGTATGCTTTCTTACGAAGAATGAGCAAATGAAGCCTTGTGCTTCTGCTGGGTGCAGGAGGCTGTGTGTGGAGCCAGGGGAAGCCAGCCTACAGAGATAGAAGCAGGCTTTATGTGGGGCTGCACAGATAAGATGGACACCACGGGCTGGGAAAGGCACAAGAAATAATGTTGCTAAGATGACCACTCAATCAATTCACACTCGGTTTACACCTTACTCATTTGTATCATGAAGAGGGAGGGCTAAATGGATTGGCCACATGTTTGCAAGGCATGCCAGCTGCAACCTGGTCTTACCATAGCAGCACTGGGGGCTGCAGTGCTGCAGATACGACAGCAGCAGAGCCATGCCGTAGGGTGCTGCAGGGGCTGACCAAAGGACAGGACAGGGGCTAGCTGCAACAGGCAGTAATCCCTCTTCCTGCTAAATGCTGGTGGTCATATTTGGAG